CAACAAGGACGATCTCCCGGAGGATGTGCTTGAGCTCATAACAGAGAAGAAGGCACTGAGGCGACGCTGGCAAAGGCTTGAAACACCTGAAGCCAGAGGCGCCTTTAAGCGTATCTGCAACGAGATCGAGTGCAGAATTCGTGACCTCAGGAACTCCTCCTGGAGAGCCAAGTTGGAGAGTCTAGACCCTCGCGACAACACATTGTGGAAGATGGCGAAAAAACCAAAAAAAAACAATACGTCCCTATGCCGACAATAGTGGATGGACGCGAGGAAGCGGTGTCAGATCCGGAGAAGGCGGTGGTGCTTGGGAGATACTTTCAAAACATAAGCAAGATCAATAAAAACCCCACCAACGTAGTCCAGGAAGACATGGTGGCTACGGCAACCCATATTATGGCACTACCCAGCATTCCACTCTCGAGACAAGCTCTGAGCAAGGCCATCACAACACCACGAGGAATAAAAAATATAATTACACACAAACAAGACGCCAGGGCTTGACGGATTGGACGTGGTTCTCCTGAAAAACATGTCTCACAAGGCAATCGTGCAATTGCATTATATAACGAACGCTTTACATTCTGACCGCTCTATGCTTCACTCACGATAATCTTAAAAATTTCAAAACATGTGGTGATATTAATCATTATACAACAAGAAATGCAAATAAACTATTCATTCCTCCAGCTTCACTCACACAGATTAGAAAAGGTCCAGTCATAACAGCTCTCAAAATATATAATCATTTGCCTGACTCACTCAAAGTTCTAAAGAATCCTCTATTCAAAAGACAGTGCAAATTATTCCTCAAAAATAAAAGCTACTACTCTCTCATGGAATATTTTGATGATTCATTTTAATTTGTATCATTCGTCTTAGAGTACTTCTGTTTTATACATAATTCTTTGTAAACTGTTCTATGTCTGTTTTGTTTTTTTTTCTCCCAGATCTTGGGCTAGTGTCTAGTTTTAATATTATTACAGTTTTTATCCTAAATTGACAATTTCTATACTTGTTGTGCAAGTCTTATGAAAAATAAATACTTACTTACTTACTTACTTACTATTATCAGGTGCTAGCACTACCCAGACTGCTTCAAAACTGGGCTTGTTTTACCCATTCCCAAACATGGTAAAGATCTGAAGACCCCTAATGACTACCGCCCCATATCTCTGATGCTTAGTGCGCTAGCCAAGGTCGTGGTTCCGCAAGGAACACAGTACTGTGTCTTAAGTGGCCCGAATTGTCCACGACATAAAAGAGGCCTCCAACAATGATAAAAACACGGCCATGGTCATGATGGACGTGGAAAAGGCCTTTGACACCGTCTGGCATGAAGGTTTAATGTCCAAGTTGCAAAAGGCTGAAATGCCGATTTATATCATTAAGATCATAGATGCATATATCACCAACAGGAGAATCCGGGTTAAGGTCAACGAAAGTATATCGGGAGATTTTCCACTCGAGGCAGGTGTTCCGCAGGGGTCCTGCCTCTCACCTCTACTATACACCTTATGACTTCCCTGTATTTGAGCGAACGAGTGCAGCGCTGTATGCCTACGACAGGGCGATATAGGTGCACTCGTTCGACTCGGATATTGCCAGGACTCAAATCCAGATCCATCTGGACAGGGGTGTTATACCGTACTTTGACGAGTCGAAGATCTGTGTAAATAACACCAAGATCGAAGTTATAAATTTCCACAAAAAAATCACGAACTCTACCTTGCACAGACCTTTGACCGTCAAAGGGGTGGAGGTGAGGAACACGATCACCGTGAAATATCTGGGGGTTAAATTAGACACCCGTATGAATCTCGGGTCTAACACAAACTATTTATTCCAAAAAACACAGGCTGCTATCAAACGCATGTATCCGCTGATATCCAGGACCTCTCCACTATCAATACAGAACAAGGTCCTGATATATAAGCAAATCATTAGACCTGTGATGACGTACGCGTGTCCGGTTTTCTGCAGCATCACACCTACTCATATGAATAGGTTACAGGTGCTGCAGAACAAAGTGCTTCGTATTATCACCAATGGTGATAGATACACTCGAGGGGCAGATCTTCACGAGAGATGTGGTAACCTGCCAAAGATCAGAGAATACATAATCAACATATCAAACAAATTCTACAGGTACCACAAGTGACCTTACCCGGGCGATGACTCAAACAAGAGCCCATCACAATATATATAAAAAACAGGGCTGATATATGCATCAACAGACGTTTTTGGGGAACCAGATAATCCATAGCGGGTCTTTTCCCGAAGCTCGAGAGTTTTGCGAGCTCCAGGAAATGACCCGCAATCAGGAAAATACCACTATTTCCCAAGCGCGAAGTGACGCGCTGTCAAAGACATGATAGCCGGCACTAAACCGCGACTGGGCGTACGGTGTGCTTCTCGTCTCGCTACTGGTCTAACGGCCACGGGCGGGCGGGACGTGCCCGGTGTGTTCAGCCGTACCAACACGAGATAAAGGTTTTCTGTTTTATTTTGTTTATTCTCCTTCATATCTGCAAATCTCGCCACCGATAATGTATGAACAACCCCCGCCCATTGGGTACACTCAGTGAGACTACCGATATAAAGGGCCATGCCCTAGGAGATCGGCCTCTGAGACGAACGCGTTGCATTGGCATCCACATCCCCTGGCCAACACCAGCCACCTCTGTACAGCTCAGAGGACAGAACAGGAGTGATTCGCCCATATACCCACTCTTGGGACTCGCTCTCCTACAATATCTGTGATGTGTGATGTAATAAAAAATGTAATGTATCTGTTACCGTGAAAGACCGAAATTAGTGATTGTTGACATATATCGGTTAATGTCGACATACACCAAATGTGGCCGGTGGCCGGGGTTCGAGTCCTCGCGCGCGCACACAGCCCGACTTTTTTTCATTGATAATATTCCCATCCAATATTTGAATTTGCTGCCGCCAAGTTACAGAGAGCACTTACTGACTTATGTGAACAAATACAGGAACTCGGGTTAAGGTAAAAGGTTTCTGAAATTGAAAATGATACGATCCTTCAAATACACTGCCCCCTATCACAGGCAAAAAATAAGATATTATATCGTAAAGAAACTTCACAGGTACAAGCCTACATGAAGACAGATAGTTCATAGAGTTTAATTTTGAATGCAGTCACAATCAGCAACTTGCCCCTTGGTAGGGTGCCAGTACCCTGTTTCATTTTCTCTTCATTGGTGTGGTACCGGATCTATTTCTTGCGTGCTTTTCATGATCATAACTCTAAAATGGGCAGCCATTATTTTTTAGACCTTTCTCTATCCCAGATTTCAGGAAAATGGGTATGTTATTCAGAAAATGAAGAATACGAAAAATACGAAAGAAACACCAATGGTCGATGATCGATAACAAATGACATTAAAGACACATGACATTACTGATAGCTGAATGACACGGAAATGCGCGTTCCACAATGTGGAGCAGGGTAAAATAGTTGGAGTGGGTTCTGTTTGAGTTCGGATACAAAATTTCAGTCGCGCTTCGAATAAAAAGTTGATTGTCTAGCATACTAAACTTGAAAGTTAGAAAGTCGCGTTAATGCCTACAATACTTCTACGCCATGTTTGAAGGGTCATTCTCTTAGGGAAGATAGTCGGCCATTGAAATTATGGAAATAAACAAACATACCCAGAAGTATTATTGCCCTATTTCAGTTCTCTAACCATTCACATATATCCCGTTTATTTCGCGTTTGAATCAATATCAACTTCGAACATTTTTTATTGAATTTTGATTTTTTGTTATTACTGAGTTCCGATAAATTTGCAACGGATGAAAGACGTGCTTGTTTTTCGACATGGAACATTAATATCTCAGACAGTTAAATTGAATGCGCTGTTAATTTCTGTCTTCAATAGTTATTTTTCGGCAATTTGAATATGGTATTTGGTAATGAAACATTTTGTTATCAACATGCCATAATAGTTGTCTGAAATTTGTTCCTTAGTCGATATTCTGGTCCTCAGTAATTATTTGGTTGAAAAATAAACTAATTTCTGAACAACATGGAAAGTAAACTGTCATGCGCGAGTGGGCGCAGTTGTGCGGTAATTTTTAAGTCAATCTGGCAACGTTTACGAAACCACAGACTACTACCCTGCAGTTGACACTGAAACATTTCAAAAACCCACAAATGATTGACCAAATTGGTGCACAAGAGGGTTTTGACAACGTTGTGTTGAAGTTGCCACGCGACTTATGTTCAAACACGTCGCTGTGACGATAAATTGCTGCTTGGGTGCCGTAGTTGACAAGATTTTAGAAAAATGATTACTCCAAAAGGAATATTCTCAGAATTTTTTTCTCCGTCCTCTATGATGGAAATCAATTTGTCATACATCCAAAAACAAAATTGCTCACTTCTTCAAAATTCAATAATTATTGATTCAACAGATTACTGATTTCTTGAAAAATATTCAAGTCCTACTTATTTCCATGAGAGGCTTATGCGAATCCTTTATTTCAGCGCCTATCGATTCTAATACTATATTAGACTAGTACAGTAGCTGCAGATTCAGATGAAATAGTTATATGCCGAATCCGAAGAGGAATAGGTACAGAATGATAACTATTCAGTTGATAATGCATTATCATTGTTCTCGTTGAATTTCATGTCATATCAAGAAATGTATAATTTTGTACTTTTTGTACAGAATGCTCCAGATATACGCAGGTTTTTATTGCAATGACTGAATGATTATGACATCAAAACCAACAACGTTCTTTGATTTTTTTGTGTGAAAAGCTTGAACTGAATGTTATCAGTAGATAATTCATATGCCCAGTTGACAATACGCTAGACAATCAGCATTTTTACTCTCATTATGAGTACCTAAATTCCACCTGTACATTTCAGTTCTGAGTTTGAGTCGTATAATTATGGGACACCTTGTATATAGACAATTATTCGTTCCTGCTTGATTTATAATTTTTTATTCTATTTATTACAGATATGCAACAACTCGTTTCAATGAATACTTCCGATTGAAGAATGATATGTTATCTTTGGAGCTGCCAGTTTGATCAATTCATACGAGTATTGAGAAGAACCTATCTAGTTGATTTTGACAAAATATATTATCCTGTGAAATAAACACACCTTTAAGAATGTGATCGATTTGGAATTATTTTTTCCCGAGTATGATTTTGATGATTGTTTGTCTGAATCGTAGTTTTATGCTTCAGGGAAGTGACAATTGTACTCAACTCGATTTCAAATTCTGTTCAATATTTCAACAGAATCACCCTGTAGTTGATTCTGTTGATTTCATTTGGGTGATGAAAATTCAAATAACATACATGTATGGTTTTATTTTTCGAGCAAGTGGATTGTTAACAGATATAATAAATTATGAACGGCTCTTCGATAATTGGGGACCAAGATATATGGTTCGATTCGATATAAGATGAACAATCTGAGTCGTGAACAGACTATTTAGTCTGTGCAACTTTGTATGGGTGATCACTAATGGGGATAAGTACTAGAGATTGATTTTTATTTTGTCATCAGAACTCTTGAGAGGGAACATATTGGGAGTATATTGATGAGTTATCAAAATTGTCAGGAAAAATATTCAAACCACACCTTTGGGGGCGTTATGGGAAATGAGATGGTTGGCCAATGGAAATTATGGTAGAAAATAATGACCAATTATACAGATCGGTAGGACAGAATTATTCAACTATTTGGAAATTTGTACAGAGGTGACGTCATAATTTTCACAGTATAGAACTTTGGGTGGAAAAAGAACTCTCACCCCAAATTTTATTCTGATCCCAAAATGTTTTCATTTGTGTCATTCGATCTCCCTGTATACATGACTTTGAATAATTAATTGAGATAACATATATCGAAACTAAATTATGTATATAGAGTACAATGAATATCGCACAGTATTATTTTAGCTTGTATATTATAGTAACAATACATAGAAAGGTATTTTTCCCTGTTTTTTCAACAAAGATTCGCAATATAAATTGTATTCGCCTCTTATTATGTCTATCTGCTTATCCCAACACAATAGCATACCACGTTTATACAACACCTTCGGATGGCGCAAAGGTAGTTGTGGTAATACTGGGTTCGGAGGTTTCGTAATTAGCTACATATTACAAATACTACACTTTATTTGTGTTTGTGAACATGATCAAAGCATTATTAAAATAAAGAACACTACAAAAAACTTGTTGTTTTTCTATCAGGCGCAGACGACTCTGACTGACTCATGACAGACTACGGCCTTGTGTCCCTGTCATTTGCGGTAACTACTTGATAGAGATGGGTCGCTAGAGATGTGAATGAAACTGTGAATAGTTCCGTTTGGCCACAGAACTATGCCATGATGCCACATTTCTCCCCCAGGAAGTTAAGTTTGATACCTAGCTGGAAGTTTCCGCTCTCGATGTGGATTTCTTCTAGGCTCAGGAATCGTTGTCACAAAGGTGTCATCAGAACCAGAAGGAGGAACAGAGGAAACTACTTCTTCAGTAGCCACGGGGAATCGTTTTGAATTAGAATCATCAGGACCAGGACCACTGAGTATACGGTTAGACTCTTCAACTTGCGGAGGTATTGGTTGACTGGAAAGAAGTTGCTGATCTGTCTGAAATGATGAAAATGTATCTTCGGATGTTGTCAATCTGGGTCTCAGTTGATCTCCATGCTCCCTTTTCAGGCGTCCATCAATGTCTACGACATAAGAGTATGGACCTGTCCTTTCCACAATTCGTCCTGAGGTTGATCCTTTGCTTAATGGATTGTTAACCCATACTGGTTGAGTTTCCTGAAATTCATGATAACGTGCTCCCCTGTCATGAATTCTTTTTTGATTTAGTATTGCTCGGTCCATGTTACCAAAAATATCAGGTTTGAGCTGATCAAATAGTGATCTCAAATGTCTTCCAAAAAGGAGTTCACTTGATGCTCTTTCAGTGGAACGTTGAACTGTATTGCGGTAAGTGAACAAGAAACTATACAATCGGTCTTCTTGGCTTTTCCCATCATCACTAGCTGCCATTCGTTCTTTGAAGGTTTTAACCGCGCGTTCCGCTAGACCGTTTGTCTTCGGATGATACGGCGTTGTTCGAACATGAGTAATACCATATTGTTTACAAAACAAACCAAAATCTTCAGAGGTAAGTTGAGGTCCGTTATCGGAAACTATAATTTTTGGATAACCCATTCTCGAAAAAACTTCGCGGAGAGTTAATAATGTCACTGGAGTTGTAATGTTTTTCATCAGCACCACTTCAAGCCATCGCGAATAGGCGTCAATGATGATAAACCACATTTTTCCCTCAAACGGCCCGGCAAAGTCTATATGCACTCGCGACCACGGTTCGGGTGGTGGGCTCCAAGGAAATAACGGTAGTTTATAATCGTTTTGTCTGGATTCTTGACACGACACACACGATTTCACATGATCGATAATGTCATTGTCTATCTAACTAGAACAAAATCGAAACACTATGTGACAACAAATGCAGCCGAAAAGTCTATAGGTCAGCAAAAATTTTCAATACTTCGCTAATAGGATTTTCAACTATTTACCAGAAACTTATAAAATGTATATTCTTGAAATCAATTCAATCGAATATATCAAGAAAAAATTTAAAGTATACTTACTGGAGCTAGACATTGACATTGTAGCTAGTATCATAGAAATGTAGGAACGTACATAATATATAATTATGGCTCAGGGCATATGCTAGTAGACTCTTTTTTATTTTTCATACATCCCATGACAACCTATTGAGGTTTTATGGGTTTGGTTGTTTATTTAATACAATATAGATCAAAATGATCGAAATTACTACTTATACTACTCATATACTCTGTCATTTGTCATTTTTTTCATCTTACTTTTATATCAGGAATTTTTGTATTAATAAACATATATTATTATAATTATTATTATGTTTGGCCAATATACATGTAATCGCGCACTAGATTGCATTGCCGATATACCCGGATGTCCGTCGTGCAGCATCCTCAAAATGTCAAGTCTCAAGTTTTCTGGTATATGTGATATATTCAAATATGTAAATGGCAACACTGCCAGGAATAGACACCTGACGCTGTCAGTCAGACAAACGGGACAAGTTAATGTTGACAAGTGAAAGGGGACTAGGAGAAAACCTAGAGGCCGGGAATGATGTCGACCAGAATGTATTATGTTATTGCCTGAAGTAATAAGTGTTAATCGACGTGAATACATAACCGAAGTATTACGAAACCAGTGTGTTTATTTTAATCCAATTCCTATAACAACAACACAAACATTACATGGTGGCAGTCGGTGAAAGCGACTGAGGTTATGTGCATGTTCCCGGTAAAAAGGAGCAGTGTGTGAAAAAACTGCAAAAAACTACAAAAAAAAAAGGGATTTAAAAAGAACTATGTTGAAGAGTTCTGGTGGTGAAACAATTTGTTAAGAGAGACATCCAAACAAAGGAACAAATGACAAATAAAAATACTGCGATTTTCTACTTTTTGTGTTTTAAATCGTTTGTGATTGTCTGTGTGCTGTTTGATTTGTCTGCAGTAATAAGACCTGTAGAGTCTGAAACGAGGTGTGAAAATAATAGGGAAACCATTATTATGGCTGAAGAAATGAGATCTCCAGAAGTTTTCACTTTTCAAGGAAATGTGGCAGAGAAGTGGCGACTATGGAAGCAAAGATTTGAGTTGTATCTTTTAGCTAGTGGAAAAACTGAAAAACCGGATGATGTCAAGATAGCCATCTTACTGAATCTACTTGGAACACAAGGCATAATGATTTATAATACCTTTGAATACCTTCCAAATGAAGATAAGACTAAACTGGTCATTGTATTGAAAAAATTTGACAATTATTGTGAACCATTATGCAATATAATATATGAACATTTTAAGTTTTTCAAGCGTGACCAGGCACCAGATGAAACGGTAGATCAGTTTATAACAGCTCTCAGACAACTAGCTACTTCATGCAAATTCCAAGAAAAAGATGTCATGATTTTAGATCGAATTGTTCTAGGAATCAGTGACAAAAGAATTCAGGAAAAATTATTACAATATCCTGATCTAAAGTTAACAGAAGCCATCCATATTTGTAGAACTATGGAAAATAGTGCACTTACTCAAAAGGAAATGGCTAAAGAGACAGTATTGGTGAGTGAAATAAGCAAATACTCTCAGAGACAAACTTCAAAGAGCAATAGTGACATTAGAAAGGACATGTACAATAAAGTGAATTTCAATGCATCAAACTCAAATGTGAAACAAAGTGGACATGCCAAGAATGTGTGTCGATCCTGTGGATTAAGTCATCCTGCCAACAGGTGTCCTGCTTTCTACCGTGTATGCAGTTCATGCAAGCAGAGAGGCCATTACAGAAAATTCTGCAGAAGCAACTCTAATGTGTATGAGGTAGTTGAGGAGGAATTAGATGATGAATCAGGTAACCAATATTCTGATTATAATGACCAGGCTGATGATGACTATGTTGTTTGGTCAGTAACTAGGTCAGTAAGAAGCTCTTCAGAGGTAAGTTCAGTAGAATGGTTTGAAAATATTGAAATTGCTAATAAAAACATGAACTTGAAAATAGACACAGGAAGTCAAGTAAATATATCCTCAATATTAGTGATGATGAACTAGTACAAGGTTGTTCCAACTTGTATTCTTATTCTGGACATTTAATCGAGACAATTGGACAAATATATGTAGACTGTTCATATGGTGAAGTGAATAAAAAACTTTTGTTTCATGTGCTCAAAGCCAAATCACCTTGTTCTATTCTGGGACTTAGTGCTGCAAAAGACTTGACAATAATAAAGACAAACAATATTTGTGGTAGTGTTGTGGACAATAATAATGAACTGAATGACATTTTAATAAGACATAAACTAGTTTTTGAAGGAATTGGCCAAGTTGATAGACTGTATAACATAACTTTATCTGATAATGCTATCCCATGTACTAGTGCACCTAGAAAGTTGCCTATTGCACTAAAAAATAAGGTTAAAGATAAACTTCATGAAATGGTATCACAAAAAATCATCATCCCAGTTACTGAACCTACGGAATGGGTCCACCCAATTGTGGTTGTGCCTAAACCAAACGGGGAC